GTGTCACGGTGACTGCCAGGGAAAGAAATCTACCACCGTTTCCTGGTTCATTTTCAACAGCAAGTTCTCCTTATTTTGTTTGTTCATTCTTATCACTTCCTCTCACTCACGCCCACCCATACCCAACCCATCACCAGTCAGGCCAACTGAACCTCCGGAATACTTCTGAAATCCACCTACCTCTGTCTGTGACCATGCCTGTCACTCGAGTCCAAGCACCATAATTGGTTGCCTAGATTCCTGCCAGAGCCTCCCACTTCACCTGTCTGATTCCAGGCTAGGCCTGCTCCAAATCTGCTCTCCACCCAACAGCCACAGTGATCGTTCACGAACTGCATCACATCACCCCTCTACTTTCAACACTCAGTGGCTTCCACTGCTCTTCAACGAAGCCCTGCCTTCCTCTTCAGCCTCAATGGATGCAACCTCTCCAGCTTCCCAGGCATTCCTGCCTCAGGGCCTTTGCACAGGCTGCTCCCCCTTCCCCTACCTTTCCCTGGGAAAATTCCTCTTTATCCTTCAGGTCTCTGCCTCAGAGAGGCTACCTGCAATCTCCTTCCTGCTCTTTTCTCTTATGACACCCTGTTCTCTTCCTCCACTGCACTCACCCCAATACAGGATTGTTCATTTATGTGTTCATTTGTTTACTGGCTATCTCCCCCACAAGGCTCTCAGCTCTCTGAAAGCGGGGATCATGTGTGTTTTGTTCATCACTGTTTACAATGTATAACAAGTGCCTCACACATAGTAGGCATCAAAAAATAATTACTAAAAGTATGGATGAACGTTAAAAACAAGGGGGAAAAAGGCAGTTAGAACTTTCCCCATGCTAACTGTCTTCTAAATGAAATCATCATCAAATCATATCACGAAAAACAGGAGGGAACATCTTTCACATCGATGGAATTGTGACTTTGAGCCAACCTCCCCCTTCTTAGTCACTCCGTTCCCCTGCTGTGAACAGGTTGGGGTTATTTATCCCAGAACCCACAGATCCCCGTCCTGGACGTCAGCTATCAGGTTCCTACACTGGGTGGGAGGGTTTCCAGTAACGCCCAATGGCATCTTTAGGGGGAATCCCAAGAAAAGAAAAACTTAAGCAGTAACAGCATTGCTCGAATTTTCTAGTCTATTATAAAAAGCCGAAACGTGCTTAGGAAACCCAGAGGTATAAGTGCAAACACTGACGGCTCAGATTTGTGAATTCGAGACCTCTGTGCTCATCTGTCACCTCTATGCCTCCACCTCTCCCAGAAAAACAACTGTCTAGCCCTCCTTAATCACCTGAATTTCCTTTGACAGCTTGTCACTCTTTCTTACTATACTTATAGCTCTTCAAAATGTCTAACCTTTATCAGTGTCCAGATCTTTTCACATGCAACCAAATTTCCTCTTGAATCTTCAAGAAATATGAGAAAATGACCCTCCATCAGTCTCTCTTCATATCTGGAAGGCTATCACAGTATCAAGTTTCATCCTATTTACTTACACAATGGCCTTCCAGGCACCAGCCTGAATATTTATTTTAATGTGTCTTTAAGAGATTATTTCTCCCATTTTTATTGCTCTTAGTATCCTAAAAAGATGTTTTGGGGCTTCCCTGGTGGCGCAGTGGTTGAGAGCCCGCCTGCCGATGCAGGGGACACGGGTTCGTGCCCCGGTCCGGGAAGGTCCCACATGCCGCGGAGCGGCTGGTCCCGTGAGCCATGGCCGCTAAGCCTGCGCATCCGGAGCCTGTGCTCCGCAACGGGAGAGGCCACAACAGTGAGAGGCCCAAGTACCGCAACAAAAAAAAAAAAATGTTTTGTTTTGTTTTGTTTTGTTTTCAGTCTAGGACCCCAAACTACATGAGACCGGACAGCAGAGAAATCCACATGCTAGTCACCTGATTCTGCCTCCTCTCAGATTCACGTCTGTTTTATGATCACGGGACTTAACTGATTCCCATTTAACCGGGGCCCAGCTGAGACTCCAGATAAGTACGCACGAGTCGGCCCTCTGTATCCACAGGTTCCACATGTTGGATTCAACCAACCTCAGATCAAAAATATTCGGAAAAAAAACATTCCAGAAAGTTCCAAAAAGCAAAACTTGGATTCATGCATTGGCAACTATTTATATAGCATTTACATTGTATTTACAACTATTTACATGGCATTTATATCGCATTATGTATTATAACTAAGCTAGAGATTATTTAAAGTATACAGGAGGATGTGCAGAGGTTATATGCAAATATTAAGCCGTTTTATATAAGGGACTTCAGCATTCGCAGATTTTGTTATCCCGGGGGTCGGGCGGGGGGGGGGTGGAGGTCCTGGAACCAATCACCCTCGGATATGAGGGACAGTTGTATAAGTGCAAAATCAACTCATTTCCATTTTTTCTTAACTAAAGGGGCCAAACACTCTTCCCTGTTAAATGGATCCTATCTATATGTCAGCCTCTGTTTAGTGCTTTAAAGATATGTATCATCACACTAAATTTGAGGTCTGCAAAATCTGAGTCATTACAAAAAGCATATTCTCTTGACTCCAGATATATGATACATGGGGGCTTATTAAGAGAACAAATGAAAATATCAGCACAGTTAGCTCTTAATGCCTTGAGTTTTAGCTTCTGGACCCATGGGGGAAAAAAATCATACTCTAGAGGAGCAACTGTTCTCTGTAGAGATGAACACACATGCACACATTAACACACACATACAAAACTGCAGACCAAGATTTGAGCTTTTGTTTTGGTTTTGGTTTTAATGCCTAAGGTGGAGTCAAACCATTAATAGCTAGTTCAAATGATCTTCCTAGCCCAACCAGTTTCTTTCCGTTGAATTCCCACCTCTCAGTGTATATCTCATGCTCCAAATCACAGCTACCTCGGGCACCCAAGTGATGTACCAGGACATCAGACAGGCTTAGTTTAACTGGGTTTCCCCAGCACCTTGGAAAGTCCCAGCAAGTGACAGGTGGAAAGCTTGCAATTTCACCTACTACTAGCAGAGCAAAGAAGGCTTCCTTTGCAGTTATTAAAAATCTATCAACTAAAAAAAAAAAAATCTATCAACGAAGTACCATTTTCCTACAAGCTGATACTCTAAGTGGTCACAAGCTCATATGATAGAGACAGGAGTAATCATCTAAGTTTAGAATTACATCAGAGAGGATGAGAAAAATGGAGATGCGGAGACTGTACCCTTCTTGAAACAGGGAACTTGAGGAGGTTTTCATTCCTCCCAAAGCAGAAACAGAACCTTTTGAATCTATACACGGGGCTCCACTAATCCAGCAACCTGGAAACATCTTATAAACATCAATTAAGTCTGGCCACAAGCTCCATTTATACATAAGGCAACTTGGATGTTTAGAGACCGAGCAGCCTGAAGCCCAGCAATGAGTCAGGGCGAGAGTGGGCACCAGACCCAGGAATCTGGAATCCCCATCTCTGGCAGGAAGATGCTATCTATCTTTCAAGGGAATAAAAGGTTCACAGAAGAAACAGATGGCAGAGACAGACGATAATATCCACACATCTCGGGATGGGACAAGACAAAGGACGGCCAATGGTGCCTAGTTGAAGCTGGAAAGGAAGCCAACCCCAGGCCCCAAATGTCATTTAGTCAAATGGAAAATTAGCATTGCTTCAGCCCCAGCTCAGCAAAGACGCTGCTGCTCACCTTATGGCTTGTAAGTTGATGCCACAAAGATACCCCATCCATCCTCACCTCAAGGCTCTCTCTTTTTATCTGATTTGAGTTCAGAAATGCCTGTTCATCTTTGGCCAGATAAGAGGAGCAGGTATTACAGTTGCAAGCACCCTACAGAAAGGGGAGTCTGGTAACTTCAAATCCTCTGGCTCTTCCTGTCTCCTTCACAAGGGAAAGCTGAAATACCGTTTATATCTAAAACACACAATATGGATCAGAGTGCTTTGTAAACCACAGGAGTTAGGTGATAACATGACTGCCTTGCATACTTAAGGTCCAACAAAGTAACCAATTAAGCTAAGCGAGGCTAGTTGTCGGTACACTAGATGAGCATAATCAAATGTTCCCTTCCCAACATCTGCGAAAGAGAACAAATAAATCGGTAACACTTTGGAGTGCACAGGGTTTCGCCCTGCTTTCCCTGCGGGACTCTGATACCCTAAAAGAGAAGTCTTGGGGGCGGGGGGGCGGTGCGGTGGCTACAGGTGAGCAGCCATCCCCTCCCCACTACCCAGTACGACCAGAGAACTTGACAAACTCCGGACAGAAACAATGCTTACTTTTCAGTTCAGCTCGGCCAACGGCAGGCCCTGGCTCCAGCCATCAATGGGAAATCCTTACTCCTTTGGGGCCCGGGGCAAACACGGTTAGTATTTTTCGGTCTGAAAGTGAAGACCAAACTGTTCTAGCATTCTTGAGGGAGGGGCGGAGAGGAGGGCGGGGCAAATTCTCTTGACCAACCCCTTCGGCGGCTGTGAGGTCGGGTTGGGGGATAGCCCTCCCCAGGCAGCCCGCATTCCCAGTTCCCCAGTCCCCACCGCACTGTAACGCCCCAACTCAGCCCCTGGGCGAGCCTCTAGGGCCCTAGTGTCAGTGGCTTTCACTGCTCCAGTGGGTCCTCCCTGCGCCCCGGCCCAGCCATTCTCAGCTCAGTGTCCAGTACAATTAAATACCCAGGAGGCTTTCCACGGAGGCTAATGCGTACATCAAATATACACGCTACTCAACTAAATAAGAGTAATTCGTCAGCCCACAGGTAGTTTCGATTCATCAAAAATTCATTAAGTGATTACTAAGTTCCAGACGCCGAGCGCCGTCCTGCAGATTCAAAAACGCTCCAGGTACCCGAAGCCACACACTTGTGAGAGCCCAAGAAGGTGAAGCTAGGTGAGAATACTAGTACGGGCCGAGGGGATCCCTCTAGAAAGGCCTCGCTCCGTTCGTCCCCTTGGTGGGGACACACTCAAAAGGGTCTCGGCGCCCAGACCACGCGTCCTCGCCCCCGGCCCGCACTCACTGGGTCTTCCTGTGGCCGTGGTCCCGGTGCAGCTCCCGCAGGTCCACCTCGGCGCGGCCCAGGAACTTGTCGAGGCCGAGCAGCGCGCGGTGCAGCACGGTGAGCTGCAGGGTGGCGGCGGCGGCGGCGGCGGGCGCTGCCTCAGCCGACAGCAGCGGCGGTAGCTCAAAGGTGGCCTCCTCCCGCCACACGGGCGCGCCCAGGCTGCGCTCCGACACGGAGGTGGCGTACTTCTCCTTGCCCACCTGGATCACTGCGTACGCGTCGCTCGTGCCCCCGGGGCCCTTGGCCCGCAGGCCCCGAGCCTGGAGCACCGTCACCTGCACGTGCGTTGGGGACCACACGGCCCCCGGGCCCCTGCCCGCCGAGGCCGCCAGGGACATGGTGGCTGCGCTGCGGTCCAACCGAAACTGAGAAGATCGCCGCGACCCGCGGCCCCTACAGCCCGCCCCGCCGCGCCGGCCTCTTTAAGGCTTCCGGCCACGCCCACTCTATGCCTTGCCCCTCCCAGCCCCGCCCCGCCACCCGCCCCACCTGCGGGTGCTGGGCCCGCCTCCTCCGCGCAGACCGGGCGAGGCTCCAGGGCGCCGAGGACTGGGCGGGCTCGGCGCGGGCGGGGGCGGGGCTTGAAGAATTCGGGTCTGAGAGGTGCTAGGTGAGGGCAGGGGTCTCCGACTGCCAAAGGTCTCCCGGCCCAACCGGAAGTGGCCAGAGCAGCTACTGGGGAGCCACACCTCATTTCCAATCTGGCCTTGCCAACCGGCAGGTGTGTGACCTTGCACAGATTACTTAATATCTTTGGGTCTCACTTTCTTTATCTGTAAAATGAGATAACAATCACCTCATAGAATTGCTATAAAAAAATGTTACCTGGCACAGGGTGAGTTCCCAATAAACGGTAGCTACAAGGGTAATTATGAATGCGTTCCCAAATTCGTTGCTCTTCCTACTTTGGCCGCGGGGGGCGTTGCTATGGAGGAAAGTGGGTTCGGGGAAGGTGCCAGGTGAGGGAAGAGCGAGGAGGATCTTTTGAGGACCCGAAAAGGAGAAGGGAAAGGCAGGGGGCGCCTGAGACGGCGTAGGAGTGTTCTGTTTTGCCCCGCCCTGACCAAATAAGGTGAGGCCAAGAGGCTAAGTCGGGGAAGGGGACGAAAGGAGGAACTGAAAATGGGATTGCCCAACGGGGCCCTTCCCCGCAGTTCCCCTTTTCTCCCTGGCTGGACCCTCTGCAGTCTCTCCTCGCTCTTTATCTCTGAGCTCCCAGTCAGGCACTTTCTCGTTCCCAGTTTCCATTAGAGTGGCTGATTCCCTTCATTCCCAATATGCTACTTCAAAGACTCAAATATCTATTGATCATCAGATTGCAAAGGTCACTTTGAAAGTTTTTAGGTTTTAGAATTAAGGAAAGAGCCAGGGAAGCAGAGAAGTGACTCGTTCAAGATCCTGCAACAGAGCCAGGACTAGAACCCAGGTGTCCTGACTCCCATCTAGTGTTTCTGCTGCATCCTTTTCTTCTTCCAGATCCTCAGAACCCCAATCTTGGATGGCTCAAGGCACTCCTATCTGGACCCCACCCTGATTCATTCTCCTCTATCTCCTGAACAAACTGTAGCCCAGATAATCTTCCCACCTCAGGCGTGTACTCACTTGGCTGGCCCATGGCGGTCCTGCCCACCTCTCTGCCAACCCATGTCCTATCCACCGCAAAGCTTCACTCAGATTTCTCCAGGGTCTGGCTTCTGATAGCCCTCTTCAGGGCAGGAACGGGTGGTGACTTGTCTCCTCCAGAACCCCCAGCAGAAACCTGGGCAGCCAGTGGGTACTCAGGAAGTGCTACGGAACTGAAGAGTTGGCAGGTTATCCCAGCCAACCATGAGTACATAGTGTTTCCTTTTACCACGTAAGAAATTACAAGACAGACATTATGCCTCAGGTTTGCAACTGAGGGGTGCTGCAGTGTGGGAAAGGCCTATTTACTAGGCTTTGAAATGTTTAACAGTGATCGGAAGGGGAAAGGAAAGGAGGTACCAGACCTGTAAGCGGCAGGAAAGCCTAGCAGAACTCTGTTGATTTGGTGCCATTTCCCTGCTTGACGATCTGTTAACCTCATTCAACCTTATGGCTCCATTCGCTACTGTAAAGATATATTGAGAACTGACCTGGTGCCCAGCGTGTGCTAGGTGCTACAAACCGAGGGCACAAAACCCTTTGAATGAGACCCAGTCCCAAGGCACGCCCTGACAAATGCTGTAAAGGAAGTCCTGTACCAACAAAATGCTTTGGGTGTTTTGAGGATAGAGCAATTTCTCTAAGCTAGTGGATTTTTTTTTAATTTTTTAAAAATTGAAGTATAGTTGTTTTACAATGTTAATTTCTGCAGTATAGCAAAGTGACTCAGTTATACATATATATTCTTTTTTTATATTATTTTCCATTGTGGTTTACCACAGGATATTGAGTATAGTTCCCTGTGCTACACAGTAGGACCTTGTTGTTTATCCATTCTCTATAAAATAGCTAACATCTTAAGCAGGTGGATTTTTATGAAGGACATGGCATTGAGCTGGGCCCTAAAGATATGCCAGATTTGAAAGGCAGAGAAGGGAGCATGGAGGAAGAGCCTTTCAGGAGAGAACAGAACAGCTAAAGCAGGAGTGTGGAGGTCAGAGTACCCCAGTGGGGCTAGACCGTGGGATACTTCAGGAAGGCGTTGGGGGTGGGTGGTGGAGATAAGGCAGCCCAGGTAGGGCGGGGCCACGCAGACCATGGACACCAGGCCATGGTGTGTATACAGAGTTCTGGACCAGGTGAGCCCGCCTCCAGAGGACTTTGAACAGTGGTGTGATCAGGTCGTAAGGCAAGGTATGACCAGAAGCAGCCCAGCAGCCAATAGCGCGGTAGGTCACAGCCAGACACCCGCCTTTGCTTTCACCTGGAGACTGTCTGCCTCCAGCCCCATTCTGCCCCACCCCTGACCCATCCTTGGTGACTATTCTAAGTTGATGCTACAATAAATAAGGCTGTACCATACTCCCCTCTTGGCTGCCCTGCCTGTCCACTGCTCCACTGCCTCCCAGCCAAAGTCAGAGATCTGCCATCCAAACTGATCCTAGGAGTAAAGTTTTTCATCTCCAGCCTCACCTCCTCTCCCACACACACACGGTTCCCCGGGGGAGACAGAGCCAGGAGTGAAACCCAGAAGGACAGCCCCACAGGCTGAGTATGACACGGAGCATCCCCTCCACTCATGTGAAGGATATGAGGACAGGCGGGGTGCAAGAGGGGAGGAGAAAACAGGATCCCCTGGTGACCTCATGTGTTTGGGTCTCTGTCAGACACAGATAGGCTCCGTGGTTAAAGAGGAAGTGAGAGGTTGGGGGAGGACAGGGCAGCCTCGCCACCTCAGAGAAATCCCGGTCCATATCCTTCTCTCTAGACACTAGACATGGGCAGGGGTTAACTCGGAGGAGTGGGGCTCACCGGAGGCGGGAATGAGAAACTTGCCGGTGGAGAGATGCCAGGAGGTCCAGCAGCTTGGAAGCTGGCTGATCGCCCTCCACACGCCTCAGGGTGGCTTTTCCCCCTCCCCAGCTGGAGCACACTGTCCCTGAAGGCCTACCTACTGACCGCCCAGAGTCCAAGAGGCTGTCTTCTTCCAGCTTTGTAGACAGACCCTCAGGCCACGTGGGGCAGGGGGTGGATGGGTGGAGCAGGCCCAATGACGGGGGCAAGGTTGGCGCTGGGCCCGCTGACCCCTGGCCGGCTCCCTGAATTCCGGGAGTGTTTGTAAACACCTCCCATGGCCAGGGTGCGGAGGGATGACTGCTCTCCCCTCTTACCCCGCCCCGCCTGGGGCTCTGACTGGCAGAGGAAGGAGTTTCAGCAGACAAGGCACCTGACAGGTTCAACTGGAAGGGTCAGCCACCTGTCCTCCTCCCAAAGCAGCAGGGCGGAGAGCACCTGGGCCCGGGCCTCTTGCTGGGCGGCGCTGGGCCTCGCCGTGGGGTCTCTAGCACAGATATGCTCTTAGGCTCATCCGGGAAGGTTTCCCCTCTAAGACATGGTGCAGAGCCAGACGAGACGGGAGACAGGGCCTGTGGAGGGAGAGGCGTCACTGCCCCGCCAGCGGCCGACCTCCCTACGGCCCCTCGACATCCCCCAGCTGCAGACACACGACCTCAGAGATCATCCTGGCGACTCTGGAGGGGCCCACATGCTCCCCCGAGGGAGGAAGAGAAAGGGCCTGGTAGGGCTGCCTGTCAGCCTGTTCTCCTTCGCCCCAGTCTCTGGGGGGTAGCGACAGCCTTCCACACACATGACTCATTCACTGGGGCTCTGCCTAAACAGCCCTCTGGCTGCTCCGGCCCAGCTGCCTCTGCCTCCTCCGGCCCACTCGGTTGACCAAGATTCCCTCCAAGGAGCAAGGGCTTCCTGCTTCTTCACGGAGTCAGTGAGCACCAGACTCTTTCCTGTGCCCCAGGGGCTGTGGCAGTGAAGAGGTTGAAAGCATGGCCCAGCGGACAGAGGAGGGTCTCAACAAGAGGATGGCTCAGCCATCTCCCTACAATCTTGCTGACAGTACTGCTTTGTTTAATGAAGCTTGCCTCACGGATTATGCAAAGGTATTGCCTTTCCAACTTGTCAGGTCCCTTCAGAGAAGGCTCCTGAATCCCACAGCTGAAAAGCTCTAGGGAATGTGCAGCCCTCACCTTCCCACTTTCTGCCCAAAGCTTTCCCTCCCGCCGCTCCCATTCAGAACTGCTGCCTTTTCCTAGCTATTTTTTTTTCGGGGGGCGGACACGGAGGGGGGTGGCCAGGTCACATGCAGGATCTTAGTTCCTCCACCAGGGTTCGAACCCGTGCCCCCTGTAGTGGAAGCGCAGAGTCTTAAGCACTGGACCGCCAGGGAAGTCCCCCTAGCTTATTTCTTGTACTCGGAGTCAGCACTGGTTTTACTCACTTGCCAGCAGCTCGAAGGCAGGAAAAATGTGGTCCTCACCTTTGCCTTAACCATCTCCCAATTCCTTGCCAATGGAAGGCAGCTCAAGTTAGGTAGAAGAGACATAAAGGACTCTTGAACCTTCAACATTAGTCCATTTAATCCCTGCTACCGCCACCTCCAGCACTGCCCTGTATTACTGTCTTTTTAAAATATAAGGTTTAGGACTTCCCTGGTGGTGCATTGGTTAAGAATCTGCCTGCCAATTCAGGAGACATGGGTTCGAGCCCTAGTCCGGGAAGATCCCACATGCCGCAGAGCAACTAAGCCCGTCTGCCACAACTACTGAGCCTGTTGCACTCTAGAGCCCGCGACCCACAACTACTGAGCCTGTGTGTCACAACTCTGAAGCCCAGGTCCCTGGAGCCCGTGCTCCGCAACAAGAGAAGCCACCGCAATGAGAAGCCCACACATCACAACGAAGAGTAGCCCCCGCTCACCGCAACTAGAGAGAAA